GTGGAATGCCGCCTCAGCATGGCTTGATGAGCGGTGCTGGGTCTGCACCCAGGATCTGAACCTGTGAAACCCTGAGCTGCTGAAGCGGAGTGTGTCAGCTTAACTGCTTGGTAATGGGGCCGGCCCCAGAAATGTAATTTTGATTGAGGCATTTGACTTTTCTTGGCCTCAGTTTCCTCCGTTATCCAATAAGGGCCTTGTGTTCCATCTCTAAGACCTCTTTCAACTCTAACATTTTAGGAGTCCATGTGGCTTTCTTGCTCTCCTTGCTCTAAAAGGAGACAACAGACTGATGTGCTACAGAGGACACTTTCTAGCTCTGTGAATTTGTCAAGTTACTTCGTCGTCTTGGGTTTCAGATTCCTCATTTATAAAATGGGAATAATGTCTCATTTGTAAGGTGCATAGGATTTAAATGAGATAATATATGCTCATTAACATTATTTAGTTTTCTCTTTTGACAGACTTAAGTTGCTATTGGCTCTAGTAAATGATAGAATCCTGTAATGGTTCACTACAGGGGAATAAAGTGCCATTTTGTAAGTTAAAATCTCTCTCTTAGTATGCACATGAAATCTAGTTGAGATGTTTAGAAATATGTGTCAGATATAGACACTAGGATGAAACATTTTACTGTTTGTAAAAACTTGTGGTTTATTTGGGGTCTTTTTGGAAATTAGACTCCATAAGGCAGCATTTATGTAGTTGAGTCAAAATTAGGCTGTAAAGAGTTGTTAATTTCCAAGCCTTTCTTCTTGTTTACCTTTTACTAGGTACTAGACTATTCTTTGGATTATCACAAATAATCAAACCAGTGGAGCAGTTTATTTTGTACATAGTCTTGTTTAACTGTGACGTGCCTGTGGCACACTTATGTCAAGAGCATATGACCTTGTTCTCAAGATCCTGCTTTCTGTTGGAAGTGGACATTTAAACATTAGAATATTTTATATAAAATATAATTTAATAGCTAGTTACAAGTCTTTGGCCAGCAGTTATTATAGAATATAATTTTTAGATTTTTAAGCAGTCCCTCTTACTTGGCCACGTCAGATTTAAGTTTCAGGGACTGTTAGAAATGGACGATCACTAGATGGCAGTCTTTCTCTAGTTTAAGTCATTTATTCGGGGTGGGAGGGGGCAGCTACTCTTTGTTCAAGTACAATGTTGGCTACCAATATTAAGTTAACTTTAGTAGGTCTATGACCTTTCCAGAATTTAGGACTTGCTTATTTTTGTTTTTAGCATTTTATATCTGATACTTATGTTGGTTAGCACAGAGAAAGGCTGAGATACACTTGAGATGCTGATACAAGTTGAACTGTTAGGTAATGATCTAGAACTGCGTTTTCCTATGGTAGGCAATTTGAAATAAAACCTTTAAATAAGTGGTTTTTAACCTCTTTGATAACCAGATGGAAACTATGGATCAGTTCCCCTAAAATTACATATGTGTGCTTTTGCCTCTTTACATAAACTCTTCACACAAAATCCACATAAAATCTGGAAATAGTGGATTTTCTGATGCATACTCATGGAACACAAGTTTATTAAATAAAGTCCCAAAATATGGGAGTTTTACATTTTATTCTAACTTTTTAAATTCTCGAAAGATACTCAGCGGATCTACTGTAAATCTTTATGTTATTCAACATTATTATAATTAAAAAGAAAATTAGAATCATAAAGGCCCTAAGATAGGAGAAACAGACAGGTGGCTAGTGATAAGGATGTAGAAAATTCATTAACTTGTTTTGAACTACCTGATTATGCTGTTCTGAAAATGTATCGTCTTTACATTATTATTGACTGAACTGGAAAGTGAAAGTGAATTGTAGAAATTTAAGGCTAAGCTGATACTACAGAGAATTTGTGATTGATTGCTTCCTGTTTTCTAAATGAGAAGGCTGAGGGTCGGAGAGATTAACTGAGTTGGGGAAGACTCATAGCTAGTTAAATACATTGCTAGAACCAAGGCCACACAGTCAGGCGGCTAAAATATACCTTTCCTTTCTTTGATTTATATTTTTATAGGAAGTTCAGGGAGCTAGAGAGGCATTATTAATATAAGTTATCAATTTCTTAACTTTGGGATTTTCTTCTCTTTGAGGTTGTCTTTTGTGATATTAATGTAGATCTTTGGAGGAAAAAATGACAAGTTTTTAATAGTAGAAGGAAGTAGACTTGCTCCTTAACTTAGAAGTATTACTGGGTCAAGACATAACTGAATTTGAAACCAAGAGGTTGCCTAATATTGAATAATACCTACTTATGCCATTTAGATTGATGAATTTTCAGTGGTTATTCTTCTTCTTCAAATGGCAAGGGGTATTGGTATCTTTACCTGGAAACCTTTCTTTTCTTTTCCTTTGGAAGGGGAAACCTTATGTTTATTTAAGATTAGTTGAAATGTCAATGCTAGATTCTGCCTTGTGTGTTCTAAATAGCTCCTTCAGGCAAGTGGTTATTCTATAGTGTGTCTTAATTCTCAAAGCAGAGTTTGTTTATAATTTATTTGAAGATCTCTTCCCTTTATTTCAAAGTAAGGAGACTAAATCTGGATTGCTCTGGTTTTTCTGAAGTAGGTGTTCAGAATTTTTATTGGAAGCCAAAGTTGTATATGTGTTGTCTATGGTTACTGCTGAGTTTTGGGCAGTGGAACTGATCTGCTGAGGAGAGTGTGCTTTCTTATCTGCAGGATCAAGGTGGTGATCTTGTACCCACAAATGGTTATAGAAACAGAAAATGTTGGTAATGAACAAATATATATTTGTTGAACAAATATCAGAGATCAAAGAGGTCTTAGAGATAATGTTAGTCATTCATTTAGTCAGCTAATGTTTACTTACTTCCTACTGCCTGTCTGGTACTATTCTAGAGGTACGGTGATGAATATGGCAAAGTTCTTGCCTGGGAGCTTACACTCTAATCGGGATGGGTTGGGAGAAGAGATGGGCAATGAACCATGGATGATGAGAAGGAAAAAGTTGTTTGAAGATATAGAGGATGAGCATTACTAGCATAAGAACAGCAAAAACAGAATTCTTGAGCAAGAGAAGAGGCTAAAAAAAAAAGCCAGTGTAGCTGGAGCATAGAGGATGGAAGGAGGCTAGGGGTAAAACTAGAGAGAGAGATAATCAGAGGCTGGATTATATAGGATCTTATAGGCCATGGTAGGGATTTAAGATTTTTATTCCTTTTGTAAAGAGAAGCCATTAGAGAGATTTAAGCAGGAGGATAACATTTGAATTATTGCCCTACAAAGATCATTTTAACTGCTATATGGAGAATGTCTGCATTGAGGTGGGGAGTGGAGGAAATGGGGAATGCAGAATGGAGACTTTTAAGAGGCTGTTATATTGGTCCACAGTGGCGATGACACAGATTGAGACTAGGATCTTAGTGGAAGTGGTGGGATGTGGTCAATTTTAAGTTACGTTTTGGAGGTTGAGTTGTCAGGACTTACTAATGGATTGGATGGGGTGTATGATAGAAAGTAGTGGATTAGGAGTGATTCTTGGATTAGGGTTTTTGACTTGGCCAACTGGATAGTGCCATTAGCTGTGATGTGATGTGTGAATCGTGGGGAGATTTGGGGAGGAACAGGTTTGGAGGTGAAGATAGTTTGGTGGTAGGTAATTTTCTTTTTGGTGTTAAATTTGAGATGGTTTTTAAAAATCGTTGGAGTTGTTAAATAGTAGCTGGATATTTGAGTGCTCAGGAAAGTGCTCTGAATGGTAGGTGTAGATTAGGAAGTCATCACTATGTAGATGGTATTTTAAAGCCATGGAATTAGATGGCATTGCTTGGTAGAGAAGAGAAGAGGTTTTAGGAATATTTAGAACAAGAATAGAAGAGGATATCCCAGAAAGGAGATTGAGAAGGCATGCCAGTGAAAGGGTAAAAACCCCACATTAGTGTGCTATATTGAAGTCTAGAGAAAAGAGTGTTTCAAGAAGAGGGATGTATTAAACCATAGCAAATGCTACTGTTAGGTGGAGTAAGATGAATGCTAACTGTTGGGAGGTGACGAAGTGGAAAGGACTTTTGCTGGGAAGTGCGGCCAAGAAATAAGATAGTAGCTGGAGGGAAATGTGAGAAATAAGATAGTAGCTGGAGGGAAATGTGTAGGTAAGGACAGATTTCTGAAAGCCATGTTTATATACCCAAGAGAATGATTTAGTAGAATGGGAGAAATATGTGATGCAGGGGAGAGATAAAAGGGACTACTTGCAGGAGTAGAGTTCTTGAGACAACAAGAAGGATTGACTATAGAAAAGAGCTTGGAACACTTTTTCCATTGTTATGGGAGGGTGGACAGAGTAGGAGTTACAGATGTAAGTGGGTTAGTTGGTTTTAGTAGGAGAAGAGGAAATATTTCTTTGTTTTTTGCTGTGAAGTGTGTAGTCAGGTCAGCAGCTGAGAGTGAGGGGATGGACATTTGAGGAGAGGAAAAAGTTCAGTTCTCACCTATAGTTATTTGGAGATATAAAGTGATTTTTTTGGTGCTGGTAATGGTGGTAAGGAGGATAGTTTTAGTGGTATTATCTAGCAGTATTTTTTGAGTGCCCAATTTAGGTTTGTGATTATATAGCTAAACTGAGTCTACCCAGCACAGCTGTGTGATTTTTCTCCAGCAGTATCAGCTTCTTGGGTATAGTCATGGAGTAATTGGATAGTTGGCTTTATCCCAAACTGAGTTTTTCTAGATTAGTTTAACTGAGAAAGAAAGGTGCAAAGGAGTTGTAATTCAGTCCTTTCATTGTGGTGAGACTTCTAAGGTGGATACTATCAAATACTTAAATATTTTTGAATGAGCAAGGAAGCAAAATTTTGGGTTTTCTTAAAAACTCATCTAGCCTGGGGACAATATTAATACAATTGGATTACTCTGTGGTTGATGTGCCTTAAATATTTAATTGACAAATAAATTTGCTTCTGGTTTTATAATTCTTTCTTAGAAGTCAATCTGGTGTAATCTTCATGCCATTTTTTTAAAGGTCTGTCTATGATGGTGAAGAACATGGACGATTCATGGAGAAGCTTGAAACTCGCATCCGCAATCATGACCGAGAAATTGAGAAAATGTGCAACTTTCATTACCAGGGCTTTGTGGACTCTATAACTGAACTGCTGAAAGTAAGAGGAGAAGCCCAAAAACTCAAAGTAAGGAGACGCTAAGAGAGACTTGTTTCTCTGTCTGGGGTTTTGATTAACGTTAAAGTAGTAGGGAATATGTTGCAGGTTACGTATTTGTAGTAAAGATTTTCACATAGGAAGGAAGGAATTTGTGCTGGAACATAGATATTTGGGATTATGGCTTTTAGCTAGAAAGAAATCTCTTTTCAGTTAAAATTTTTTTGGAATAACTACATGTAGATGAGAACCAGCTACGGAATCAGTAACAGTTTCTTTCAAACAGAAACTCAATTGACTCTTCATGTCATCCATCTACTTCCTTGCTAGGTAAAAGCCATCACTATAGGATGATGGAATTGGAGGGCATAGCCACAGAAGTCTTAGCCAGCATGGCAACCTAAGTGAAAGGGAAAAAAATCAGTGATAGTTGTGGAGTGTCTTCTATCAAAGCACGAAGATTCTTTCTTGATATGACAGATTCAAGTTCAGGAAGCAGACTAGCCATATTGGTCTGGTCCTGGCATAGCAAATTCACTTATGTTGGATAACTGACTTTGCTTATGGATCTTAAATCTAACACTTCACTAAACTCTTATATTATTTCTAATAATTTGTGTGTAGATTTTTTTTTGTATTCTCTGAAAACACGTATATGATGTATAGGTAATAATAGTTTTATTTCCTTCTTTAAAGTCCTTATGCTTCTAATTTCTTTCTTTTTTTTTTTTTTCTCTTTCCTTTCCTTTCTTTTTTGTCTTGTTATTGGAATTTGAATTAAAATCCCAAAAGGATTTTCCTGGGGCATGGGATAACTTGCCAATGAGTATAAAATGGCAAGAATACATTGGTAAGAAAACTGAAGAAACAGTTTTATTGAGGGACGAAGTGGGCAATTAGATGTTAAATTATATTTTAAAGCTACAGTGATTTAAAAGCTAATTTGATTGCAAAACCTGACCTGAAGGGACATGAAGCTATCAAACTTCTTAATATATTTTATTTAATATAAACTTTTGTATTTTGCTATAAAAATATTAATGTGTTTGATTATGGGATTCTGTCCTGGTGCCCTTTGGGGGATGTTATGTAGTATACAATATGTACCATATTATGTTTATAAAATCTCTAAAATTCTAAAGTCCAAAAAACACAGTGGGTCCCAAGGTTTCAAATAAGAGTTTATGGACCTGTACAACAACTGTCCACTCAGCTTGTGAAATATAATATTGCCAACACGATTAAGTCTCTCTTTTGTACCCTTCTCAATTGTTTCCTTCACCCTTCTCTCCAAAATGAACAACTCTTCTGATTTGTTGTTAATATTCTATAATTTTAGTTGAAATTAAGTTAGATCCCTTTCTCATTCAACACACCAAAATTAATTTCAGATGAACTAAAGAGTTAAATGTAAAAAGTTAAACCATAAAGGAACTAGTAGAAAATAATTGAATATTTATGTGATTTTGGGAGTGAGGAATACGTTTCTAAACACAATTCCTAATCCAGAAAGAAAACAATTGCTAGATTTGATGATGTTAAAATGAAAGAACCTTTTCTACATACAAGTTAAAAATTAAAAAGTAAATAATAAATAAAAAATGTTTACGAATACATTTGACAAATGATCGACATCCTTAACAAAAAAATCTTTACAAATTAATAGGAAAAATATGGACCCTCTAATAGAAAACTGAGAAATACTCATTAATATACAGTTTACATAAGAAGAAATACAAGAGTACAATTTAGAAATAATTAAGCAAATGCAATTTTAAGCAAAGTGCTACCTAATAAAAGGATGAAGATGAAAAAATGATATTTAAGATTGGAGATGATACCAATCAACTAGGGAAGCCCTGATTGGAGTGTAGGTTGTTACAGGCTTTGAGGAGAGCAGTTTTATTTATCAATACTTAAAACTCCACATAGTTTTAAGATTTATTCTAAGGCTATAGGTGCATGTATGAGGATGTTCATATGATTTTTTTTTTAATAGGTAAAACTTTAAAATGTCCCTAAAACTCGGTTAGTTAGGATTACTAAAATAAACCATAGTATATCCATTTGAAAGAATAATAAACTACAATATGTTGTTGAAGCATATCTGGCATGGGATAGTATTAGAAATGTTTGTTTAATGTATAAAGCAGATTAAAAAGTATGAACAGTTTGATTCTATTTGAAATAAAAACTTATGCTGAATTTTTTGGGCTGAACAGCCTTAAATGGAAAAAAGTGTCTGAAATGTGTGAAAACAAAGAAATGGGGCTCCTGCCAGGAGCTGTGTGTACTATTTGTCTTCGCTCAGCCATCCCAGCTTCCCACCCTCACCTTAGGCTGTTCTTTTCTGTGCTCCTTGGACACCTGTATTTCAGATTTCTCCCTCTGCTCCCTGGGCCCTTTGTCCACGATGGGCAGCAGGGTACTCTGTCTCGTTTCTGATGTAGTCGTGTGGTGGAGCACCTCCTTCAAGGCAGGTAGCATTGAATATTGCACATAATGCTCACCAATTTCTGATATCACTTGCTGGTTGGTAATCATCTTCTCTTCCCCCTCCTTCCTTCATATTGCTTCAAGTGGCAAATTCCTGCAGATAATTCAGGGTGCCGCTGAGGGAAAGCATGAAGTGGAGGCTACCAGTTCAGGGTTTTTGGCTGCTTCAGGCTCCACTTGCTTACTCTGAGAGCCGAGGGGATTAAAATCTAGCAGCACACCTGGGATGCTCTGCTCTAGGGGGATCCATTCAACCTGGGTTAAGAATCTATGAAACAGAAATTCTTGAACTCTTGAAAAAAGTTTAGAAAATGGAAAAGATTAAGTATTAACTACTGTCAATACTATTTTGACATAACAAAAAAAAGAAACTAGATTCTTTAGGATGCCTGCTATTTCTTTTGATTCACACTATGTATGTATTTATATATATCTATCTTTATATTTCTGTTCTCTGAAACAAGAGGAGTAGCATCCTAGACAGGTAGTATAGTTTCTTGTTGTTGTTAAAATAGTATTGAAATAGTAATTATCTTTCTTATCAGAAGCATTGGTTAGACTCCTATGGATGTGTTTTAGAACTGTGGTTTGCACAAAATCAATCTAGTGGGCCATGATTAATATTTTTAACAAAAATTGAAATAAATAGAATAGAATAGAAAATAATAAAGTGTATTACATACATAAGGGTAAACATTGTTTCTTGAAAATTTTGTTTTGTTTTCGTGAGTGTGTATGTGTGTATCTGTATGCATTCCCTATACTTCTGTACTGGGTTACCATGTAAAATGTACTTCTTACAGTGAGTTTGAAGTAAAAAAAAAGTTTCAGAAATGGTGTCTTCATAAAGTAAACAAGATATTCTAGTAGAGATAATGATGCTGAATTTAGTTTGGAATTTAGTTTAGTATGGAAGTTTGAATTTTATGAGATCTCCAGTTTTATTTATTTTTTTTAAAGATTTTATTTTTTCCTTTTTCTCCCCAAAGCCCCCCAGTACATAGTTGTATATTCTTCCTTGTGGGTCCTTCTAGTTGTGGCATGTGGGATGCTGCCTCAGCGTGGTTTGATGAGCAGTGCCATGTCCGCGCCCAGGATTCGAACCAACGAAACACTGGCCGCCTTGCAGCGGAGCATGCGAACTTAACCACTTGGCCACAGGGCCAGCCACAAGAGATCTCCAGTTTTGAATATAAACAATCTAATTATTCTTCACTAACTACCATGGAGGGGTCAACACTGGCGCTCAAGGCAACCCTCCCCATTTTTATTCGCATTGCCTGAAAGCTTTTTCTTGTATTGAGGTGATATTAATCCTACTTTCTAGTAACATTCATGTATTGGTTTGAGCAATAAGCACTGTTTTTAGGGCAGCACTGTTCTTCTGATAGCTCTTCAGGTATTTGAAGGACAGCTGTCACTCAGCTATGGTGTAAGTGTCCAGGTATGGTGTAAGTGTCCAGGTATATTGTATAGTGTCTCTAAATGAATATTTTTCCTCTCTTTGGGCTAAAAATCCCTTTATGTATTTTTCATGTGGTGTAGCTTTGAATCCTTCTCTAAATGTATTCACATCTAATCTAACTGTGCTTCAGGTTGTCAAGGTCTTCCTAAAACATGGCATCTGAATGTAATTCTCATAGTGTGATCTTATAGCCTTACCATCTCACTTATTCTAGATCAAGGATCAGCAAACTATGTCTTGCAGGCCAAATCCAGCTTGCCTCATTTTTTTGGTAAATAAAGTTGTATTGGAACACAGCACTGCTCATTCATTTACATTATATTTATGGCTGCATTTTTGCTACAGTGACGGAGTTGAGTAGTTAAATAATTCAAATTAAATACATTTGGAAAACACTCTGTATGATATCCCCTTCTTGAACATTCACAGTGCATGTAGAAAATTAAAAGCTTTAAGAAGTCCTGTATAAACTAACCTGGTTAGTGGTATTTCCTATACATAATGTGTGTGTGTGTGTGTGTGTGTGTGTGTGTGTATGTTTGTGCACGTGTGCACCTCTGTGTGCATGTGCAGAGTATTTATTGACTAACATTTCTTGGTGTTCTAAGGGAGATAATAGAAAATGCTGGGTTAAGGGAATGCCTTAAAAATGTAAGGAGTGGCAGTTACTGGTGGAAGGGTAGAAAGTCTCTATTAAAGAAAACTTTAGAAGTTAATATTGCTCATATTTTGGTAATGTCTGAGATGGTTAGGAAATTACTATTCTATGCACTTAATTTTTTTTTATGTCAGTTGAGTCTTCAAGAGTGGATACCAAAAAAAGTGGTACCAATACCTTTAAATTATGTACTCTAGATAATTTTAAGGCTTGTTCATGTAGTTTTGACTGCCTGATGGGGAAATTAATTTAGAAAAATGGGAATATGTAAGTGTTAGGAACTGTTAAGAATTAATGATACAAAAAGAATTGATAAAACATTTTCTTAAATTAGGATAATAAATAGGGAAATTTGACCTGAGTTTAAAAGTTCAATTTATACTCTAGTTTTCCAGGAATACATTGGTGAAGTAAGGAATATCTATGGTAAAATTTGTTCTTTCTACACTTAGTAGAGATCGTAAGGTTCTTTGTGTGTTATTTTTTCTTTCCTTTTTTTCTCTTTTCTCTCCAAAATAAAAGTGTGATTTTTAGTAGCTATAGTATCTTAGTTTAGAATATTCCAGACTGAACGTATCTTTTAGTAAATTTTTCTTTTCATTGTTCAAAAGGTCATGCGAATTTTCAGTAGAAAAGTGCATATAATTTAAACCCAAGAGAATGCCACTAAACCAAAATGATGGAATACTGAAGCTATCTGAATACCTATCCTTAGTCTTTTCATTTTAAGTTTTGATCTTATCCAATTATTGTCTAAATGTCTGTTTCTTATGAGTTTAAATTGTCTTCTCTCCACAGAATCAAGTGACGGATACTAATAGAAAACTACAACATGAGGGAAAGGAAGTAAGGCCAGTTTACCTTTCGAAAAAATCTTTTCTGTTTCTTGTCATTCTCTTTTTGATAACTGTGTTCTTGGTTTAGTGGCTTGTAAGACGATAGCTGGAGGAACTTGGACATTATTGTTGCTTCTCCTAATGTTTATCTGAATTACATGAATATAACCACTAGAAAGCTTAATGAGAGAGGATGTACCCTTCCTTAGCTGTACTTTTACATCATGTGAGTAATCATAAAATGGCCATTGCTGTTGCCTCTGCCTGGATTGCTCTTTCTCCAATATTTACCTGCTTCAGACCTTTGCTGAAATGTTACCTCCATAATGAGGCCTTTCTAACCACCTTATTTGAAATTACAGCCTCATTCTCACCCCCTTTATTCTTTTTACCTGCTTTGTTTTTCTCCATTGCACCTATCATGCTCTGATATTATAGATTTTTACTTAAATGTTTGTTTTTGTCTGTTGCTTTCATTAGAAATTAAGCTCCATGAGGTCAGGATTTTTTGTTTGTTTTATTCATTGTCTTCCTTATTCCCTCTACCTGCGTAAACAGTGACTGGCACAAAGTGGGTGCTCCATAAATATTTGTTAAAAAAAAGGAATCGTTGATTCTGTTAATTGATGTACTCACCATTTAAATCATCACAGTTTACAAGATTATTTTACATCCATTTTCTCACTTGATCCTCATGGCAGATCTGTGACAAATTCTGGACAGGTATCATCACTATTTTATTGATGTGGAAACTAAAACAGATGATTTGCTAAAGTTTACATAGTAATTGGCAAGGCTGGGACTAAACTCCAGGTTTTCTGACTTGTAGTCCATTACTGTTCTCTGTATCATATACCTTCCTTGCCGCCTAATACTTATTTACTGTTTGGTTTTAGCAATCTTTAAGAATACGTTTTGATTATTTTGTCAGTGACTTAATCAGGGCTATTCTCTTTTGTTCTTTTTAGCGTGGTATCTAAGCAGATAACATTTCTAGGTATGGGTATAGGATGAATGCTACAAGAGGCTGCATAGATTACTGCTTTTTAAAAGTTTGTCTCACATATTTTAAATTATGCAGAGAGTGCATAATAGACAGTTTCTTCTAGTTATATTGTACTATGACTTCAGATGGAAGCCTTTAAACAGCTATGGGAAGAAAAGTAAGTTACTCTTTACTAAACTAGAACACTTGGAAGAGCCACAGCATCTAAGTGTGTGGTTTATTTGTTGAAGTAGAGATCTAGTTGAAGATTATTTTCAAGACTCATTTGAAGCTGTATAGGAAGCACAGTTTTCCTCTAGAAGTCTAGCACTGTTGAAGGAAATAAGGGTCTTCTCAGAAGGTTGATGAAACTATAAATCATGAAGAGTCTGGATAGGGTTTGGAGAAAATCTGCATATTTTTTCTTTTCTCCTAGATAGCCCCTGAATTTTAGGATTTCATTTTACCTAGCCTGGCCTAGTATAGTATGTATCTTGGGGAGAAAGTGGGAATCCAGGCAGGAATGTTTTACTGGTTGAGAAATGGAGTTCCTTAGTGCACTTGGCAGGTCTTACTATGAAACTGTCTGGGATTTTCTGATGAATTGAGCACAGGGTGGAAAAATGTGACTGAAAGCTTTTTATTTACAGCTGTTGGCATAATTCAGTTTTTTTCCCTCTTGCCAAGCTGGTAATAGCAATGGAAGAGCTGAAGCAGTGTCGACTACAGCAGAGAAATATTTCTGCCACTGTTGATAAATTAATGCTGTGTCTTCCAGGTGAGCAACTAGAAATTGAGCAGGACTTTTGATGCAATTCCTTTAGCTTTAATTAGTCTTTCACTTTCTCTAAATAATGCTTGTATGCTCTATTTTCCCTTCTCTTTCAAGTCTTGGAGATGTATAGCAAACTGAGGGACCAGATGAAAACTAAAAGGTAAGATTTTTTTATTGAATACTTTTTATTATCTAAAGTTTGTTATTTAGAGTATTTTTAAGGTCCATCTTTAGCATAACCTTTCAAAAAATAATTAAGTTCATGTAACATCTTCTCTAGCCTTTTGTATATCTACTGGTATATCCGAGACTTATTTACATATACTAGTGGTACGCTGATCTATTATGTCATGTATTATGTTTAATAAAAAAGGCTGCTGACAGTTTGATTTTTAGAAGACTCAATCTTTTAGGGGAAAAGCATGTAACTTTTAGTGATAGTTGATTTGAGAAACATGTTTTGGTTTAGTGTCGTAGTAGAAAAAATAGTTACTGGTTTTGGTGCAGGGGTAAATTAGGATTCTCCATTAAAACAGAACCAATGGGGTATGTGTGCATACGTGCGTGTGTGTGTGTGTGTATATAGAGAGAGAGATATTGATTTATTTTAGGGAATTAGCTCATGCATTTTTGAGGCTTGGAAGTCCAAAATCTGCAGAGTAGGCTGGTGTGCTAGAGTGTCAGGCAAGAGTGAATATTGTAGCCTGAGTCGGAGGGGAGTCTGCTGGCGGAATTCCTTCTTCCTTAGGCGAGGTCAGTCTCTTTTCTGTTAAGGCCTTCAACAGATTGAATGAAACTCACCTACAGTATGAAGACTAATCTTCTTTACTCAAAGTCTGCTAATTTAAATGTTAATAATCTCATCTAAAAAATAACTTCACAGACATATCTAGAATAAATTTGACCACATATCTGGGTACTGTGGCCTAGCAAAGTTGACACATAAAATTAACCACCGCAAGGGGCAAGGTCAAGGTTAAATTCAAACAATTTCTCTCCTGTTTGTTGTTTTCTTCTCGTTTTATTCCAGAGGAAGCTCTATAGTGACTCTTTGGCTCTTCTTCCAAAACTTGAGTAAGCATCCCTACCCTCTCTGCCCTGGGGTACCCTGTAATTTGATGGGGGTATGTGAAGCCATAGGATAAATAGCACACATCCTCCTAGAATGTTAGTTTTACCTAGGTTTTGAGGGAAAAAGTATGAAATTAAAATGTACTTAACATTGAAATAAGAATAGAAATGTTGTGGATAAAAATTCTGAGTTCTCCAGAATTTTAAAGCTAAAGCATGAGGCATCAGAATTTTTTGAATTTCTTAGGGTGGTTTCCCAGACTCCCTTCTTCTCTCTAGGAGGAGGCATGTTCATGTAAGAGAACGTAAGTAGAACAATATGAGAAGTTCTGTTCAATGAGATATGAAAGTAGTATTATTTCCCTGATAACCTTTTTGTAAAGTGCTAAAATTATAGAAAATTACAGAGAATAAAAAAACACTTGTGTACCAACTTCTCTGAATTAACAGATAGTAACAATTTTCCAGTTTTGATTCATATATATATATGTAAATATTTATAGCATATATGGAAACATATATATGGACAGAGAGAGGTAAAGATATAATTTTTTTTTTTGAGGAAGATTAGCCCTGAGCTAACATCTGCCATCAATCCTTCTTTTTTTGCTGAGGAAGATTGGCCCTGAGCTAACCTCCGTGCCCATCTTCCTCTGTTTCATATGTGGGACACCTGCCACAGCATGGCTTGATGAGCGGTGGGTATGTCCACTCCCAGGATCCGAAGCAGTGAACCCTGGGCTGCTGAAGTGGAGCATGTGAACTTAACTGCTGCACCACCAGGCAGGCCCCTAAAGATACACATTTTTAAAAATTACAGATACATTCTCTTCCTCAGTCCTACTCCTTTCCCTACTCCCCTAAGGAATCCAGTATTTTAAATTTGATGAGTGTCCTTCTAGTGCATGTTTTTAATATCTGTAAATCATATATTGTATTATTCTGTGTTTTTAAAAACATTTACATGAATGGTCTCAGTCCTTGAGTTTTTGAGATTCATTCATTCATTCAACAGAAATGAATTGAGTAGCTACTACATGCTAGGCATTGCTCTTGGTGCTAGAGATATAGCTCTGAACAAAACAGACAAAAATATCTGCTCTTATGGACCTTACATACTAGTGGAGAGCTTATTTTCTTTATGTATATAGATCTGGTTCACTTACTTTAATTGCTCTATAGTAGTCCATTATATGAGTAATCCACATTTCCCCTCTCAATTCCAGTGGTGGTTGTAAGTGCTGTTCATGAATGTTTCTAGCTCAGCCTTCTTTTGGCACATAGTAGGATTATATTTCTTGGGCTCCCTTGGGCTATGTGACTGATTCTGGCTAATAAGATGTGAGCAGAAGTGATGAGTGTTACTCTTGGGTTTAGTAGTGAATTTCCAGTGCAGGTCCTTCTAGCATTCTGTTTTCCCTTGGTCATGACAAATGCTAACTTTCAAGATGGTAGTTGAATTCCTGAGTAACTGCAATGAGCAGAACTTCCCTGCCAACCTGTTATGTTTATATAGCATGCATGAGTTATAAATCTTTGTTTTAAGCCACTGGGATTTTTGGGATTCTTGTTACTACAGGATAACCATCCTTACTGATACTATGAGAGACATTTGGTATGTTTCCAGTTGTTTGCTATGCAGGCAGTGGTGCAATAAATATCCTTGTTCGTGTCTCTTTGGGCACACATTCAAGGTTTCTTGAGAACAGTGCTCTTCAAATGTTGCTGTATATACAAATCACATGGGATTTATTAAAAGTAGATTCTGATTCAGTAGGTCCAGGGTTATTCCTGAGATTCTCTATTTTCTACCAAGCTCCTAGGTATGCCAATCCTGCTGGTCTAGGGTTTATATAGAGGAGATCAGCTGGATCAAAAAAAGGGATGCATGTCTTCAATCTTACTAGATGTTGCTCTCCAAAATGGTTTACCGATGTAGACTCCCACCAGCTTTTTATGGGAGGTCCTATTACTCCACCTCTTGCTAACATAAGACTTTTTAGTTTTCACTGGTCTAATGATTGTGAAATGATAGATCGTTGTTCTGGTTTTTCATTTCTTTGATTACTGGTGAGATTGACTTTTGGATGTTTGGATTTTCTTCTATATATTTTGCCCATTTTTCTTTTAGGTTATCTGTTGTTTTCTTTTTTCTTTTATAAGAATTCGTTATATACTTTAGATACCCTTTCCTGTTATATTCTGCACATATTTTCTCCCAGTGCATGGCTTATCTATTAACTTTGTACAGTTAGTACTTTTTGTTATATAATTGTAAATTTTGTTATAGTCAAATTTATTTTGTGGTCTTTAAAAAATTTTATTTTTAACATTCTCAAGTTTAGTATAAATATGTCTTTTTCATGAACCAGTAAAAAGTAAGTTGTTAACATGATGCCCTGTCATCCCCAAATACTTTAGTGTGATTTCCTACAAATAAAAACATTCTCCTTTGCAGCTGCAATGCAACAGAGAATAGAAATGAACATTGGTAGATTAGTAGCATCTACTGTTCATACCCAATTCAAATTTTGCCAGTTGTCTCAGTCATGTTCTCTATAGCAAAAGAATCCAGTTTAAATCATGTGCTGCATTTAGTGGTCATGTCTCTTTAGTCTTCTTCAACCTGGAACTGTCCTCAGTCTTTCCTTGTCTTTCATGACTTTGTCACTTTTGAAGATTACAGGCCAGTTATTATGTGGAATGCCCCTCAATTTGGATTTGTCTGCTATTTCCTTATGATTAGATTCACGTTATATGTCTTTGGCTGGAATATCACAAAAGTGTGCTGTGTTCTCATTGCACCCTATCAGGTGGCACGTAAATTTGATTTGTCCTATCACTGATGATCTTACTGGATTAAGATGGTGTCTGCCAGACTTTTCCATTGTAAAGTTACTCTTTTTACCCTTTGTACTTAAAAATTTTGTGGGGAAGTATTTTATGATTGTGTACAGTCATCATTTTTCATCAAACTTTCAACTTATTTGTTTTTTTATGTCAGTATGGACTCGTAGCTTCTTATTTTATTTGATGGGTCATAATCCATTAGTGTTATTTATTTTCTTGCTCAAATTATCCTGAATGGCACCAGTGAGCCCCTTCAGTTTGGCTTCTGTGTCCTTTTAACATGTCCCCATAATTTTTTGAGTACTTTTTTTACAAGCAGAAGGGGATATGTTTCAGGCTCATATATTTTCCTTCTGCAGCCCAGGTATCAGCAATTTCTCTAAGAAACTATGTTTTTTTTGGGTAGGGAATGTTGTTTAGAAGCCAAGATCTTTGTGCTTGGTGTGCTCGTTACTATTGAGTAACTTGGCTTCCTATTACTCTTTGTATATTTGCTTATTTGATCAATTCCCCTTCTGAAACGAATCACCTGTCATTACTGTTACTGCAACTCGCTACTTTGCTAGAATGCCAACAGTGACACTGAATCGCCTTCCTATATGGTATCCTCCTTACTCCACTTGGCACTCTAATACTCCGTGGCATGCTTCTGTCCTGCCTGAATGCCCTCTTCATCCCTTTTTTTTTAAAAAAGATTTTATTTTTCCTTTTTCTCCCCAAAGCCCTCCGGTACATATTTGTATATTTTTAGTTGTGAGTCCTTCTAGTTGTGGCATGTGGGATGCTGCATCAGCATGGCTTGATGAGCGGTGCCATGTCTGCGCCCAGGATCCGAACCGGCAAAACCCTGGGCCGTCAAAGTGGAGCACGCAAACTTAACCACTTGGCCACAGGGCTGGCCCCTCTTCATCCCTTTTTGACTGACATTTCATGCCAGGTTGCCTTCCTATAGGACATCTTCCTTACCTCACTAGGTCCCTCGTACTCCATGCTGGTCCATTCCCCTTCCCCGAAATCAATGTGGATTGCTCTCATTTATTTAGATCTTCTTTAGTTTTTTTAAAGTCATGTTTATAGTTTTCAGTGAACAGGTCTTACATATCTTTTGTCATATTTATCCCTAAATATTTAATATTTTTTGATGCTTATTTTAAATGGTATTGATTTTTAGATTTCAATTTCCAGTCATTTGTTACTAGCGTACTGGTAATTTTTATAAATTTATCTTGTATTCTGCCA